ATACTTACTTTGTACTCTATAGTTCTAATTGCAGTGCTTTTCGTATTTGTTGTAGAGTGTTCGAAATTAGTATATTTAGCGCTTTTGTTTTTTCAATGTTTTTCCTTTATATTATATAGCATGTTATAGATTATACTTACTTTGTCCTCTATAGTTCTAATTGCAGTGGTTTTCGTATTTGTTGTAGCGTGTTCGAAATTAGTACATTTAGCGCTCTTGTTTTTTCAATGTTTTTCGTTTATATTATATAGAATGTTATAGATTATACTTACTTTGTGCTCTATAGTTCTAATTGCAGTGCTTTCTGTATTTGTTTTTTAGTTTTCGAAATTAGTACATTTATCACTTTTGTTTTTTCAATGTTTTTCCTTTATATTATATAGCATTGTATAGATTATACTTACTTTGTGCTCTCTTTAGTTATAAATGCAGTGCTTTTCGTATTTCTTGTAGAGTCTTCGAAATTAGTACATTTAGCGCTTTTACTTTCTCAATGTTTTTCGTTTATCTTATATAGCATGTTATAGATTATAGTTACTTTGTGTTCTATAGTTCTAATTGCAGTGTTTTTCGTATTTATTGTAGAGTGTTCGAAATTAGTAAATTTAGCGTTTTTTTTTTTCAAAGTTTTTCGTTTATTTTATATAGCATGTTATAGATTATAGTTCCTTTGTGCTCTACAGTTCTAATTGCAGTGCTTTTCGTATTTGTTGTAGAGCGTTCGAAATTAGTACATTTAGCGCTTTTATTTTTTCAATGTTTTTCGTTTATATTATATTGCATGTTATAGATTATACTTACTTTGTGCTCTATAGTTCTAATTCCAGTGCTTTCGGTATTTGTTGTTGAGTGTTCGAAATTAGTAAATTTAGCGCTTTTGTTTTTTCAATTTTTTCCTTTATATTATATAAGATATTATAGATTATACTTACTTTGTCCTCTATTGTTCTAATTGCAGTGCTTTTCGTATTTGTTGTAGCGTGTTCGAAATTAGTACATTTAGCGCTTTTGTTTTTTCAATATTTTTCGTTTATATTATATAGAATGTTATAGATTATACTTACTTTGTGCTTTATAGTTATAATTGTAGTGCTTTCTATATTTGTTTTTTAGTGTTTGGAATTAGTACATTTAGCGCTTTTGTTTTTTCAATGTTTTTCCTTTACATTATATAGCATGTTATAGATTATACTCACTTTGTCCTATATAGTTCTAATTGCAGGGCTTTTCGTATTTGTTGTAGAGTGTTTGAAATTTGTATATTTAGCACTTTTCTAATTTCAATGTTTTTCCTTTATATTATTATATAGTATGTTATAGATTATACTTACTTTGTGCTCTACAGTTCTAATTGCAGTGCTTTTAATATTTGTTGTAGCATGTTCGAAATTAGTACATTTAGCGCTTTTGGTTTTTCAATGTTTTTCGTTTATATTATATAGAATGTTATAGATTATACTTACTTTGTGCTCTCTATAGTTCTAATTGCAGTGCTTTTCGTATTTGTTGTAGAGTGTTCGAAATTAGTACATTTAGCGCTTTTACTTTTTCAATGTTTTTCGTTTATATTATATAGCATGTTATAGATTATAGTTCCTTTGTGCTCTACAGTTCTAATTGCAGTGCTTTTCGTATTTGTTGTAGAGTGTTCGAAATTAGTACATTTAGCGTTTTTATTTCTTCAATGTTTTTCGTTTATATTATATTGCATGTTATAGATTATACTTACTTTGTGCTCTATAGTTCTAATTGCAGTGCTTTCTGTATTTGTTGTAGAGTGTTCGAAATTAGTAAATTTAGCGCTTTTCATTTTTGAATGTTTTTCCTTTATATTATTATATAGTATGTTATAGATTATACTTACTTTGTGCTCTATAGTTCTAATTGCAGTGCTTTTGTATTTGTTGTAGAGTGTTCGAAATTAGTATATTTAGCGCTTTTGTTTTTTCAATGTTTTTCCTTTATATTATATAGGATGTTATAGATTATACTTACTTTGTCCTCTATAGTTCTAATTGCAGGGCTTTTCGTATTTGTTGTATAGTATTCGAAATTAGTACATTTAGCGCTTTTGTTTTTTCAATGTTTTTCGTTTATATTATATAGCATGTTATAGATTATACTTACTTTGTGCTCTATAGTTCTAATTGCAGCGCTTTCTGTATTTGTTGTAGACTATTCGAAATTAGTAAATTTAGGGCTTTTTTTTTCAATGTGTTTCCTCTATGTTATTATATAGTATATTATAGATTATACTTACTTTGTGCTATATAGTTATAATTGCAGTGCTTTTTGTATTTGTTGTAGAGTGTTCCAAATTAGTACATTTAGCGGTTTTATTTTTTCAATGTTTTTCGTTTATATTATATAGCATGTTATAGATTATACTTACTTTATGTTGTATAGTTCTAATTGCAGTGCTTTTCGTATTTGTTGTAGAGTGTTCGAAATTAGTATATTTAGCGCTTTTATTTTTTAATTATTTTTCCTTTATATTATATAGCATGTTATAGATTATAGTTACTTTGTCCTCTATAGTTCTAATTGCAGTGCTTTTCATATTTGTTGTAGTATGTTCGAAATTAGTACATTTAGCGCTTTTGTTTTTTCAATGTTTTTCGTTTATATTATATAGTATGTTATAGATTATACTTATTTTGTGCTCTATAGTTCTAATTGCAGTGCTTTTCGTATTTGTTGTAGAGTGTTCGAAATTAGTACATTTAGCTATTTTATTTTTTCAAGGTTTTTCGTTTTTATTATATAGTCATGCTATAGATTATACTTACTTTATACTCTATAGTTCTAATTGCAGTGTTTTTCTTATTTGTTGTATAATTTTTTATCTACAGTATCGGGACTAAAATGCTGGGAGTGCGTGAGTAATAATTAATTAAAATGTTAGCTTATAAATTATATTTATAATAAACCTTTGAAATTTGCAAGTAATTTCTTATATAATTTATAAAATTTTAAGTTTGAATTGATATAAAGAAATATGTGAAATCATAAAAAAAAAAAAAAAGAAAAGAAATATGTGTTATTGTAACAAGAAAAAATACACAGTTTTTCAAAAAAAATACACATTCACTATTTTTATATTTTCTATACAATTTTTCATACCTAAGATGAAAAAAATACTAATTCAAATTCTCTCACAAACAAACACACTATTTTTATTTTAATATATATCATAGTATAATATTTTAATATTATTTTATGTTTTTTTTATGTTTAAATAATGGTTTGATACATTTTTTAATCGGAAAAATACAATATTTTTATTAGAGATAATGGAATAATATAACAAAAATGCTAAAAAATATTGCAAAATTAATTCAACCAAAATATTGATATTAATGTTATAATTATGACTTTTTATAAAATATAACTTATAAATAATTATTTGTATTGTCCATTGTCATAAGAATCGCTAAAAGTCATATTGATAATCTTATAAATTTTATTTTTATCAAAATAATTAATTTAATATTATTTGAATTGTAGGTACTTATATCAAATATTAAATTCTTACTAGTTAATAAAGATCGCCATATTTGTTACGATCATTATAATTTGTTTTGTTGTCAAAAACAACAATCTATTTATATATAATATTATTATGTGTTTGGTTCGGACGTTTTTTTTTTATTCTATATTTGTATTTTTTTAAAAATAATAGTTTGATATGATGCTTTTAAAGAAAAAAAATATTATTATTGTTCGAACTTGAAATTTGAAGATTTCTAAAATAGTTCGTCGATTCCGTTGGTGCGGGTTCCGAAAATACTCCAAAGAGTTAATCTGTCGTCGGGTAGTAGAATTTCACGTGATTAATCGAACTAAACGAAGATAATTTACAGAAAGCAAGTAAAATAAATTGCAAGAAGCATAAAAATATTTAATTCAAACTAAAGTGCATAAAACGAAACTAGAACATGAAAAGAAAATAGAGAAAAATTACGAGTTGATCTTCTTGTGCGTATGTGATGTGTTTTTTCCTGATTTTAATACTAAGATAGAATAACCGCCTCTTCCACTAAAATGAGTAGTTCCAATTATTCCTCCACCACTCTCAACCGCCTCGTAACCTCATTCCATCAGCTCCCAACCGCTTTCATTGCCTCTGGACCGGGTTCCATTCGTTTTGAACATCTTCCATTGTTTTTGGATCGAGTTCCATTCGCTTTGAAATTCTTCCATTGCCTCTGGATCAGACCTGCAGCTTACCTTGACTTGCTTCCATCATACTCCTAGCCGGTCTACGGGGATATGTCCCCAACAACCTCGAGTTACATGGAATCCTCATTCTTTTTTCTTTTGGTTTGACCCATAGAGCTTTTCATATAGAACATGTAGGTGCCGGAGTCTTTCATTGATGTTACGAAGTTACTAACGCAGGGTCGATGGAGTTTGTTGTCTAAAGGCCTGTGGAAGCTACACCATCTTGTTCTATGGAAACACTGCAACTTGATGAAAGTTGTTGCCTTCAGCTTTGAGTCATTTGGACTTGGGGTCCAACAATTGCCCTCCTCAAAAAAGGGATATAATGCGAAACGTATAGAGCTTTACCCTTTTTTGGAATTTTCTTCTTCATGTGGAGCTTTGAAATCTTCCGGAGTCTCGTCCATTTGTTTCCTTTTTGGAAGAGGCTTCTCCATCTACTTTCCTCTTGGAAAGGACTCCTTCGTCTGCTTTTCTGTCTGAAGCAGCTCCACAGCCTACTTGCTTCATGAAAATAACTCCACAACCTGTCTTCTTTCTAAAAACGGCTCCACAACCTGCTTCCATTTTGTTAGTGGTCTGGAAAAGACCTGCTTTCATTTTGTTTCGTATTTAGTTGTCTGGAAAAGACCTCTTTTTACTTATCACTTCATTCATTTATCAAAACTCAAATGGCGACATATACCCCTTAAGGTGCCTAACATTAATAACATTTCTATGTTCTCTCCCATCAATAGTCATCAATCTATATACACACACGTTAGGCAACACTTTACTTGATACGGATCTTCCCATGTAGGAGACCACTTCCCAAATGTGTTATCTTTGAAACCTTCGGGTAACACTGCTTTCCACACCAAATCTCCTTCGTGGAATGTTTGCCGGTGTACTTTTTTGTTATAAGCTCGTGCCACTTTCACTTTATTCACTCGAATATTCTCCAAGGCCATCATCCGATCTTCATGTACGTCATCCAACCTTTATAACATAGCTGTGTCATATTGCTCGGGATTCAGCAAATTTTGCTTCAAGACTCGTAAAGATGGCACCGTGATTTCCAATGGAAATATCGCTTCTTGCCCATAGATCAGCTAGAATGGGGTGCAACCAGTGGCTTTACTTCGGTATTGCCTGCAGGCCCATAAAGTCTCCCCCAACACTTCGTGCCATCTTCTCGGGTTGTCTTCCATAGCCTTTTTTATTACTCCAATTATGACTTTATTGGCTGTTTCGGCCTGCCCGTTTACCTGCGCATAATACGGGGATGAATGCAAAAGAGTAAACCCGTATTATGCGGCAAAGGCAGCCACTCTATCACTGTAAGAACAGTACCTTGATCGGCGGTAATCGTTTTCAGAATTCCATACCAGTGAATAATGTGTTCCTTGACGAACATAACCACTTCTTGATATGTCACGTTGGCCAATGGTACAGCTTCAATCCACTTTTTGAAATAATCTGTGGCCACTAATATGAACGAGTGTCGTATGGAGGATGCCAGATAGATCTTTCTGATAATATCCATCGCCCATCCCCGGAATGGCCATGGTTAGACGACCGCATGCATTTCTTCCGCTAGAATTTTGATCAAAGGACCATGTCACTGACACGCTTCACATCCTTGAGCATACTTGATGCAGTACTCTGTCATTGATGGCCAAAAATACCCATACTGTCATATCGTCCATCTCATGACTAATCCGGATTTGTGTGCTCCGCAAACCCCTTCATACACTTCACCCATCACCTTTATGGCTTCTTGAGTATCTACGCATTTCATTAAAATTCCATCGGTGGCTCTGCGGAAAAGATCTCCATCAATCAAAGTATATTTCAGGGCCTGCTTCCGTAACGTTTCAGGAGTATCACCCGTTGGTTGTTACAAATACTTTCTTAGTTCTATACACGAATCCTCTACTTCCACCGGGCACAGACATACTCGCGCTGACTTGAACTTTACTCCAGCGGACGGGCTATACCCAGAGGCTTCTTGAGCTAAATCATTAGCTACTCCGTTTTCAGCTCGAGGTATGAATTCCACAATTGCGTCGTTAAAATTTTGCAACACCGTAGCTGCGTCCATTCGAAGTTTCTCAATTTTTCATCTTTGCATTGAAACTCACCAGCAATTTGCTTTAGAATCAGTTGTGAATCACCTTGAACTCTTATCGCCTTAGCACCTTTTTTTGTGGAGGATCCTCAGTCCAACTAATAAGGCTTCATACTCTGCTTGATTATTAATAAATCTAGATGCCAACGGTTTGGCAACGGTCCACTTTCTTCCCCATGGGCTCTTAATAAAGACCCCAGCTCCAGCGTTGGTCTGCGTGCTGGAACTATCAAACTTCAAGATCCATGGCGTCAGTCGAATAACAGCCTCCATACGACCAGCCGCTTGCTCGGATATCGAACTCAGATGATCTGCCAAAAAATTAGCAACGACCTACACTTCGACAGTTTTAATTGGTATATATCGTAAATCAAATGCGGCTAGTTTTACAGCCCATTTTGCTTGCCTACCTCTTAAAGTTGGCCTGCTTAGTAAATATCTCAAAATATCGACATGACACACCACTTTCGTCTCTCTCGGGGCCAAATAATATTCAAGTTTTGTGCAAGCATAGAACAAGGCGAGACATAATTTTCCCATAGGAGTGTACATTGTCTCCGCATCGTTCATTACCTTACTAAGGTAAAAAAATGGCACGCTCACTTCTCTGGGGAGCCTCCTGCGCTAGTAAGCAACCGACAACATTCTCAGTGGCCGAAACATATAGGCGTAGAGGTTTACCTGCTTGCAGTGGCATCAACACTGGTGGATAGGCCAAAACTTCCTTAATAGCTTTGAAAGCCTGCTGGTGTGGCAGCTTCTACACAAATTCCTCTATCTTCCGCAATTTGAGTAACGTGGAAAAAGTTTTAATCTTGCCCGCAGCATTGAAACAAATCTTCACAAAAAGTTCACCTGCCTAAGGAATCCTTGGAGCTGTTTCAGATTCTCAGGTGCTCGGGCATTGATGATAGCTTTCGTCTTGTTACTGTCCACCTTGATACCGTTATTATGCACCATGAAACCCAAAAAGTTTCCGGATGCCACTCAGAATACACACTTCGTTGGATTCATCTTCAAATTACATTGCCTCATTCGCCAAAAAGCTTGCCCGAGATCCACCAGATGTTCCGAAAAACCCTTGGATTTTATCACGATGTGATCGATGTAAACTTCCACCGACTGTCCAATTAAATCGTGAAATATGGTGTTCATTGCTCGCTGATAAGTCGCTCCAGCATTTTTCAACCCAAACGGAATTACCAGCCATTCATATACTCCAAGGGCCCCTGGGCATCGGAATGTCATTTTCGCAACATCCTTCTCAGCTAGGAAAATATTGTTATAGCCGGAATACCCATCCATAAACGACAGACTCCCGTTCATGGTGGCTACGTCCACTAACATATCGGCGATGGGCATAACGTATTCATCTTTGGGTGTTGCTAAATTCAAATTGCGGTAATCGATGCATACCCGCAATTTGTTGTTTTTCATGAGTACAAGAACAACGTTGGCCACCCATTCCGGGTATCGACAAGTCTACATAAATCCTGCCCCCAAGAGCCGCTAAATTTCTTCCTTGATCTTTGGGTACACATCTGGATTAAACCTTCGCGGCGGCTGCTTGTAGGGTTTGTATCCAACTTTTATGGGTAATCGATGTTCCACGAGTTCTCGCGCCAAACCTGGGATTTCATCATAATCCCAAGTGAAAGAATCCCGGTATTCCTTTATAAAAGTGTTATCAAGGTGGTATGATCTTCTGATGCTAACAATGCACTAACTTTGGTGATTCGTGAAACTCCATCGGTACTGAAATCAACATCCTCCAGCGGGTCTTGGGCCTAGAACGCTGGATGTGTTTTGTGCATGGGTAATGGTAATTGTACTTCACTGGCGACTTCCCTGGATGGTTCTGAACTACCAATGGAATTTGTTCTAAGCAGTTTTGGACCTTCCACGGGGTCTGCTCTGGCCGGCACTGAATGTTGCATAACGGAGCCTGTTTCGGGCAGCTCAAGGTTTTCCAAGGAGTCTGCTCTGGACCGCTCCAAACTTGCAATAGATCCTGTTTTGAGCAGCTCTGATGACGGCAAAAATGTGTTCATGTTTACACAATTCACAGGGAATTTATATTTGGAAATCAGTGAGTGGAAGTTTATAGAAAATGATCAGATATAGTAATTTTTGTGATTGTAGACCCTGAGTAGTCATCATAATTATTTATACTCTTTTTACTGGTGAGTTTCCAGGTCGAACACAAGGATTTTAAGTCATGAATTCCAACGATGAAAATCTTGAAAAAGCGACGAAAAAGCATGAAGGGATCCGCTTGCAGTGGATCCAAAAGTTAGGCTATAAAAAGCGGTAACTAAAGCGATAAAAATGGAGTGAGCGGAAGTGAGCGAAGCGAGGGCGGAAGATGAAGTGTCAGCGGTAACTAGATGATCGGGACATGAGCGGAAGCGGGGACCAGATGAACGGGACATGGATGAATGGCGGTTACCGAGTGATCGGGACATGAGCGAGCGGCACATTATATGTATATATATAGATGAGTGACCGAGAGTGAATGAGAGATGTTGTGTCTGAATTGTGCGTTACTAAATGGATAGATTTCCCTAGAGGCAATGAGCGACCGATGAAGTTGTGTTATCGGAAATATATGTATTTTACGGAAGCGGTGGGAAGGAAGTAGTGTAATTATATAAACTGAATATAAAGAATTCATAACACTGGAATTTTTTACCTTAAGGGATTTACAAGAAGACTTCAATGACACCCAGATTCAAGATATTATAAGAAATAAACCCTACTGTCACTAGGAATCTCTGCGACCTAATAGACCACCGCCTATGTCCCGTTAATTTTCCTGAAATCTGCCTTATTAGTGGCTTTACCCTTCTGTTACCTCTTTTTAATCAAAATTGAATTCAAAACAGCAGTTAAGCAGGTCGACAAGGCTCCCGCGTACTTAACTACATTGAACTACCTTGAGACTGCTTTTTGGGGCATAACAAGGCTCAAATAATCAGTTTTTCTTTAGCTCTAAACCAGTGAAGTGGAATTCTCTAAATTCGAACTTTATATAAGTGTGTAAAAATGGTGGAAGAATTTAGGATGAAGAACTGAATGATATTTCATTATTTACTACGAAAGCATGAAAACACTAATGCTACAAAGCTGTAAACGAAAGCAATAATCTAATCTAAGAAAGCTATAAAGACTTGGCCAAGGGAGGAGGAAAACTCCTACTCCCTTGGCCATTCCTGTGGAGAACTCCCTTACAGGGCTGGAGCTCTCAAAAACAGGAAGACGAATTGCTGAGAAGTACTTGCTAAGAGTGTTTTTAAATCGAAGTATCGATCTCTCTTTTTTACATAAAGATATCTGGCCCTATTTATAGCAGGTGAAATGGGACAGTTGCAATCAGTTGTTGGGCAGTTCCAACCGCTGGGCAGTTAGGCGGTTACTGGTAGTTATTCTGTAGGAGCAGTTGCTGGCCATAACTCCCAGGGTGCTTGCTTTGATTGCACTGAACTGTAAGGGCGCAAATCTTCCTCGCTTCCTGAAGGGCTAGAGGGCATCCGCACAACTAGGCTCGCTTGTGATGACTGGAAATGGAATGGCTATACCGCTGCAGTTGGAACACTTAGTTGGAATCTGGTGATAATCTGCAACGGTGGGTGTCTGGGCTGTCGCTTGCAAGCGGGAGAGGCTGTCGCTTGCGGGCGGTGAAGGCTGCCACTTGCCTATCATGCCTTGGTATTTTCAGGATGTATTCTGGGTGCTTGCGAGCGAAGGTGGCTATCGTTTGTGGCATCTATCTTAGCTTTTCTAGCACCAGACTACCGCTTAAAAAGGCAAAAATCGTTTATAATCTCAACAACGAATTCTGGATCATGCCAAGCGATATATATCAATAATGTATGCCATTAATGAGTCATTGTGATGGTTTTTATACAGAAATTCAAGTAATACACAGTTTTGTCAAGCTAAGAATATGCTCCTATTTGGAGTCATCAAACCTCCTCACACTAAACCTTTGTTCGTCCTCGAACAAACTGCATTAAAAGATCAAGAGGTTATACTGTTCACTGCAATTAAGAAGTGTTGCGAACAAGTGCCATGATTAGGAGTAGAGTGAATCTCAAAATAGAAACAAAGAAGCCATAAGTATTCAGCTTGTCATTTGATTTAACAAGATTGGAGTTATCGAGGTATTGTCAACTTTGCTTGCTTAGCGGGGAATGTTTTTTTGATTTAGGAACCCTTCAGCCGAAGGGCGCGGAGTTTTTTTTTTTTTTGGATCGAGAGTTTCAAACAAACATTGTGTCTGCTTAAGATCTTATTTGATTCTCACACGCATAAGCCTTTTCAGTCCCTTTGTAATGATAGGTCCTCTCTGCTTCGCTTGCATTGTATCTTAAACCATATTTAAGGACTTCTCTTTTCAAGTTATTTCTTATGAACACAGTCGAAAAGCATAGGTTCGTTTGCCCTACTGAGTATGGGAAAGTTGAAATGAAGGGGGCACTGATCTTCACATGTCTTATTCGTTGTTACTTAGTTCAACGCTAGTGTTCAAGTTACTGTGAAGTTCGAAGGACAATTACTTGGTCTGATGTGCTTAGGTCATCTAACTCTACTCTAAAACATATCACAAAGTTAACTCAGCAGGATATCACAGGTATTTCACATAAGAACACATACTTGAGGTTATGTTAGGCATACATTAAAGAAAATTTGTCACTTGTTACCAAAAAGTGTTGTGTCATTGATGAATGATATGTACAGCCCTTGTCATTCTCAAGATGTGTAAATGGGGGAGGACCTTTCTTCATTTCCTCTTTTTGCTTGGCGGTCCTCGCCCCTGAGGAAGGTTTCTGGATATCTGCCGCACTAGGTCTTCCATTCGTTGGAGACTCCTGGCTATGTCAAGCTGTTGTTCCATAAGAATGACATTTTGTTGGGTTAGAGCTGCGAGTACTTTCATGATCTCTTGCAGGGTCGTACCCATGCTTGTAGCT